TCCAAGCCAGAGTTCCTAGCAGCTCTCATCAAACTCTGTAGACACCTTCAGACCATGGTCTTGGAGTCTACAAACATCTCCAATTGTTTCAACTTTGGGCTCTATATTTTTGCCTCTTTTCAGAGGGATCTTGTTAATTTTGACATAGGCAGGACTGCCCCACACAGCCAGGTTTTTATCTGTCCTAACCTTTTGCATGTCTACTTATCAATGTTCTCTTAAACAAAGTTACTTCTTAATAACTTAAGTCACTCTACTGCAATTGCCTCTACCTTTCCCTCAGTCAGGATCAGTACATGTTGTGGACGTTGACAATACAATGACATTACAATGTCAATACATATCATCTTTATCAGTCAGTATATTTACAATATCAGTATATATGACAGTCTTGCATACAGGTCAGTCCCTGTGCCCAGTGGATAGGAATACAAAAACACTTTGTGTTCAAGAATCAGAACATTCTCCAGATGTTCTAGGTTTGTATGTATAAGTTGACTGTTATATTTGTTTTGGGTGTGTTCTCATGTGATCTTGCTGTGTGCATGCTTTGATTTATTTGCAAGATTTTCTTGGGATTAATGTTTGTCTACCCTCATAAGACTGTCTTCTTCAGGAGGGCAGGGCCCCTGTCTTTTCTTAGTTTGCCAATTTTATCCGTAGTGTCTGGCACATATATCAGGAAGCCTTTTTCAAAAGAAAGATTATGTACAACCTGTGCCTGTGTACTTTAATAGATGTCATTTGTGAAGTGTTACAAGCACAATTATAGTTATCTGTTATAGTATGACAGATGCCTCACATTTCCTGAGACATGAGAATTGTCCAAATGCTGAAGTAATGCACTTGGGTCTACGTGCAGTCTGGCTACGTTTTATGTACGTAATCTGAAGTCTGAAGTGGCACGTCAGAAAATACTTACTAAACATCCACTATATGTCAGATCCTGAGTAAGGCCCGGAGCGAAAACAACTTCTCCAGCCCGCCCTGATGAATTTGGGATCGATCTCCTGGAGTTGATATCTTAAGGGTGGAAACTAGCCATGAGGAGTATCCCTACAGGGATGGGGGTCTGCACTTGGCTCCACACCACTCAAGAAGCTCCGCCCTTGGGCGGCACCATGTTTTCATTCCGGAATGTTTTTTGTCTTCCTACCACGTTTCCCTCCGGACTCTTTTGAGTAACGACCACTTCCGGAGTCTCCCGGCAACTTGGTGTGTTCCGCCTGCCAAAGTCAGTTTCGAGTGCCGTGCTCGGGTGTGATTCGCTTGCTGCTCACGCGCATCGGTTTCTCGGCCTCATGGCCGGGCTCACCCTGTTTGTGAGTCGCCTCCCTCCCTCGGCCCGCAGTGAGCAGCTGGAGGAACTGTTCAGTCAGGTGGGGCCGGTGAAGCAGTGCTTCGTGGTTACTGAGAAAGGTAGGGGCGAGGCGATCAAGGTTGGGGTCGGGTGTCCTGGGCGCAGGATGTGGGCAAGGACTCCCAGACGTCAGGGAGTCGTATAATTCTTTACCTGTCCCTGAGAGAAGGGAATGGGATTTCAGACTTTAACATGCTGCTTTAGATGAGCCCGTAGGTTTCTCATTCTAGAAGTCAAACCTCCCCTTAAGTTTACCCACGCGCTTGCCTTTATTACGCGCTAACACGTAAGACTTTATTTGGTAATAATGAAAATAGCCAACTTTCAGGAAAACATGGGTAACGCTTATTGAAAGTTATTTGTCAGGTACGGTGCACAGTTTCACATGTGGTTATCTCATAGTTTTAAATTCATTGGGTGGAGAATCCTAACCCCATTTTACTAGCGAGGAATCTTGGGGAAATTTGTAACTTTAAATTTGTACATCTAGTAAGTAGTGGGCCCCAGATTTGATTGCTAGACCCAGAGCTCTTAACCACTGAGTTATTCACTCAGCTATTTATTCAGTGAACACTTACTGATTGCCTAGTATGTGTCCAACACCATTGTTGGGATGAAAGCAGTGTCCAAAACCAAACCAAAAGTCTTGCTCTTGGGTCTTTAAGATGACAAACAGCCAGTAAACAAATAAGCAAAATAGATAGTGATATTAATGATAAATGCTAAGGAGAAAAGCAAGTAAGCAGAGGATAGTAACTGTGTGTGTGTGGGAGGGTGGGTGGGTGGTATCAAGGGGTGAGGAGTGGCCATATGGATGGAGTAGCTATGGAAGGCCTGACTGAGCTGACTGTGAACATGTCTCAGGAGTAGGAGCAGTTTAGACAAAGGAAACAGCAAACTCAAGGATATTTTTAAAAAGTGTCTGGTATATTGGAGGAATAACAAAGACAACAGGATGACTGGAATGGGATGAGTAAAGGGAGGGGAATTAGGAGATGGGATTTAGGGTATCGTATCATGAAGGACTTTATTGGCTACTGCAAGGACTTTGACTTTTATTCTTCACAGGAGAAATCACTGGTTTTGAGCGAGGTTAGAATGATCTCGCTTGCATTTTGAAAGATTCTTCTAGGTGCTGTGTTGAGAATAAACTGGGACAGAATCTGGGAGCTCATTTAGGAGGTTCTTGCTCTAATCCTGGTGAGAGATCATGAACTTGGACCAGGATGGAGGTGGTAAAAGTAACTAATATGATTATTTTTGAAGGTAAAGTTGAGAGGATCAGATGTGGGGGTATGAAAAAAAAAAAGCAGTCAAGTCTGAGCCACTGGCGAGATTACCGACTTGGGGAAGACTGCTGCTGTTTTGCATCATCTGTGCTGTGCTGTGTGAAGGGTTGGCATGCATGAGAGGAAGAATTGTCAAGAGTTGTAATTGTAGAAGCGTTCCTTCTTCTTACGTAGACTGTCAAGGCACACTGGAATTAGGCACTTGTTATCCAGAACATACATTTAGCTTCTGTCCAAGTCATTAGGCTGTAGGTACCTGCCTTTCATCAGAACAAATGGTAGGAACTGGTGTCTTTCCGCTCATTCTAAATCTGAGTAGGTAGACTTACAGTGTGCTAATAGTCAACCCATTCTTAGCTTCTATTTTAGTAACAAAAATTATAGTTGGGATTGTCACAAACACTGGTTGTTATACAAGCCATAGGACCTGCCATGTTCTTTGTCATTTTAAGTACAGATATGAGTGGATGAGAGAGAATGCTGTACAGTAGTGTTTAAGCTGCAGATCATTTCCTTTAGTGGGTCCTGAGTGAGCCATGACTAGAATTTTTTAAAGATGAAATAGGAGTAAATATCTGGTAAAGGATAAGTATTTATAAAATTTATTCTATAAAGTATATATACTGGGTTCTACTGTACATTACTTTTATTACTGTGAGTTTTCAAAAAACACATTCAGCAACATTGCCTCATAGTGTCAGGTGGTTGTGTTCCAGTGAAAAACAGGCCATGGGAATGGGAATTCATTGTGTCCTTTTAACATAGGCCTCATGTAGCTTTTCCATTACACCTGTGTATGTGGTCTAAGCAGATGTGTGCTTTCCCTCCCAGCCCTCAGGAGATGTTGGCAAGCCGGTCACACTTAGTGGTTTGGGAGGGAGGGGCTGTGGAGTCTTGGTAGTGTCATTGAACATCTCGAAGATGGGAATGATTTCACAGGATTGTTGTGAGGTTTCAAGTAAATGAGAATGCTTTGTGCAGGCATAAATACATGGCATTTCTTTTCTTTGGGTGCTAAACTCCTTCAGCATTTTGGCTGCTTTATTTTTGGCAGTGCCGAACAGCAATGGCCCTGATATTTCTTCTTTTCTGAAAGAGGAATGACAGGCCTTTATGAGAAGGAATTCCAAGAGAAAAGAAACTGTTTTCCTTATCACAGTGTTTAGGGTTTCCCTAGTGTCAGTGTGGTGTGGTCTTTAACCAGCTTAATGCTGCTATCTGCTCTGTGTGACGAGGCCTGTTCCCCAAAACTGGTTTGCATATAGTTGAAAAAGAAGCAGTGGGTAGTAGGTAGACTATTTGGTCTGTTTTTTCATTTTTCAGGTGATGTTATTAGTTAAAATTTACTATACAAAATATTAAACATAAAAAAAAAAACAAAAAGAAAGGGTTGAATACAGTTGATATTTGTAACTATTCATCTGCTTCTTCCTAAGATTTGTTGTGTGTTAGATTGGTGGAGTCCCATGGAAAGAATTAATTTAGCTACTAACATTCTGGGGAACATTAACCAGTTCATTCAGTTTTAATAATCTCAATTTATTAATTTGGAAAGAAGGGATAATACCTATCTTACTGTGTTCTGAAGGTAAAGAAATACAGAGATTTAAAACTGCTTGGAAAGGTGTAGTTTATTACTGACAGCTAAGGCTGGCTAATAGTGGTAGGATCTACAGACTCCTGAAATAATGTCTTGTTGTTTAAGGGCCTTTTTTCGAGAGTTTGTGGCATTCATTGCTGATCTATGAGATCTTCATTACAATGCATTATTCCATTATCATTTTTGAAGCTACCATATTTGTATACTTTAATATCTTCTCTGGTGAAACAGTTCTATCTGATGTTAAGTTCTTTGGGGTCCTAATGTATATATTGGATTCTCCATATTCTTGAGATTATCAGGAAATGGGGAAGAAGAGGGGCTAATGGGGAAAACGAAGACACCACATTCACAGAAGAAGCCCAACAATTTCCGGCAAAGTGGGGTTGGGCCATTGATGTCACCAAACTTGGCTCTTTCCATGACAGTTTTGGCAAACTGATAACAGAATGGCGTGGCAGTCTACCTGCTTGTTTAGGGCTTTGTGAATTTATTGGTTGGGACTCTTGGCTTACGATGATCTCCCCCAACCCACATCCCATACTGTTCCAGGGAGTAAGGAATGTCGAGGCTTTGGCTACGTCACTTTCTCTATGCTGGAAGATGTTCAGAGGGCCTGCAAGGAGATTACTACCTTTGAAGGCTGCAAGATCAGCGTGACTGTTGCCAAGAAAAAACTGAGGAGCAAGTCCAGGGAAAAGGGGGAAAATGGTAAGTTTCTAAGTAACTGAACGGACTTTTCCCTGAGGGTGAGGAGGAAACTTCGTGCTTTCTGAATTTTCTTTTGATGTCCAAAATCATCCAGTATATTTTGTGGCTCATTTTCATCTTTTGCTTACTTGTAAATCTGGAATATCTGGTGCTCCCCTACTTAAGAAGGTGGAAAATACCATTTCTGGCTAGCCTGTGGTGTTCTAGACCTAGAGGTGGGTGATTCTGGAGCACAGATATATTTTCTTGCCTTTTTTTTTTAAATAGGAAATTCAAAGTCCCCAAAGAAGGAACCAAAGCCTAAAAAAGCCAAAGTGGCAGATAAGAAAGCCAGGTTAATTATTCGCAATCTGAGCTTTAAGGTAAGTGACAGAGAAAACTAACACTGTGTGTTCTGGAGGCTGTCAGAGCTGTGTTGTGTTCACTGGTGGAACTGCTCACCAGGATATAATTGGGCTCAACTTCTCCTGGGAGTGAGCCTTAGCCTTGAATTCAGAAAGTGGGCCTGTAGAAACAAGAATTTATTAAGGACAGTAAGTATGAAGATGGCTTCCTTTGGGGAAGACTACTGTGGAAAAATGGAGGAGAGGAAAAGTTTTCTATTTGTCCTTTTCACCTCCTAGGTATAAATCAAAATGTCTTCTATTTAAAAATGGTCATACTCTTAAAAGGCAAAGAGGAATAACAACACTCATGCTCTTAATGAGTTAATTCAGTAGTTGGTGTTTTGTCTCTTTGTTCTGATAATGTCTTTACTTTTTGCTTCAGTGTTCAGAAGATGACTTGAAGACAGTATTTGTTCAATATGGAACTGTCCTGGAAGTGAACATTCCTAGGAAGCCAGGTACTAGTAGACCTTCATTTGCTGGGGTTCAGATTAGGAATATTTAACACAGTCGTCTTTTCCTACATGACCTTTGAACGAAAACACCATTTGAAATAAAAATAAAGGTTCATGTCATACTCTTTGTGAACCCTATCTGGTAGGATATTTATAAAGTATCAGGCACAGTGCTTGACTAGTAATAAAACCAGATAACTGCACATTGCCCTCATGGTATTTTTTCTCATTGTTGTCCCAGGGCTGCGGCAGGGTATATTCAGTAGATACAGGCTATTTATTGCTTTGGGCAGGAGACTGGTTGGCAGGTGTTGGGCCATCTTGCCAGCCCACGGTGCTGTTAGCTGCCTCTCACTTCTTTATACATTTGCACATAGATGGAAAGATGCGGGGATTCGCTTTTGTTCAATTCAAAAACCTCCTGGAAGCAGGAAAGGCCCTCAAAAGCATGAACATGAAAGAGATAAAAGGTAAGTAGTTTTCTCTAACCTTGCTATTGACTATATTTCTGGTGTTCACATGTATTAGCACAGTAACCCGCTTTCTATGTTTTCGGTATTTGTATCGTTGAAAGTCTTGCTGTTTTGGTGAAATATTGTTAGTACTTGAGTGTATGGTTTAAACGTACAAGAACCAGTGCCTTTTTCTCTTTTCCTTTATTTGTTGATTCTTACAAGTCCCCAATGAAATGTGTCCCTAAAAGGCAATAGATACATATTGCTGTAAGGGTATGTGGGAATTGCAGGTTCCTTATTCTTAGTGATTTATTTATTTATGCATACAGAACTGGGGTACAGGCCAGAGGTGTGGTGGGTGAGAGAATTCACCAGAGACAGAGTGGGGAGCAGAACAGGCCGATGTACTGAAATGCACTGCTGAGGGAGCAGCGGGTGGGTCAGGAGAGGTCTGCTATGCCATGTGGGTCAGCTCCCTGGCAGGGAATCAAACTTGTGTTGCAGTGGCTTTGGAGAGCTTCATAATGTGGTGCTTTAACCTGTTGCATCACCAGGGAGAGCCCCATTCTTAGTTTTTTTTTTCAAGATTTTATTTAAGCATTCAAGAGCTGGGGTGTAGGCCAGAGGTGCTGTGAGAGAATTTACCAGAGACAGAGTAGGGAGCAGAACAGGTGGACTGACTGAAATAACACTGCTGAGGGGAGCAGTGGGTGAGACAGGAGAGGTCTGCTGCACCATGTGGGTCACCTCCCTGGCCAGGGATTGAACTTGTGCTGCAGTACTGCAGATAGCTTCATAGTGCTGAGGCTTAACCCTTTGTACTACCAGGGAGGCCCCTCCTCATTCTTAGTTTTGATCACTGTAGTATCTGTGGGCTATTAAACTGACTGCAGCCACTCTGGGTGTTGACTTATCTGGTGCTGTGCCTAAGTAAAGGACTGACTTAGAAGGGTGTAGATCACAGAAGAATCATTTTGCTTCCTGCAACTCAAACTGGGCACTTGGTCTAACTGGAAGCATTATTTTTATTCTTTATCACATCCCTAAGTGGTGGTGGCTGTGCAGAAAGGGAAATTTTCTGTTCATTGATACAGAGGTTAAGGGTTAAAAAGAGTAGACAGTTTCCAGGAGCTTTATTTTAGGACCAGCATTCTTTGAATTTGCAGTTTCAGTGGCTCCCCTTTGGTCCCATTACTGTCTTTGATGAATAAGAAGTCATGTACAAGAGTTAGGAATGTTAAAAAGAGAAGGTCTCTCTGATGTCATTTTCTGTCTCACAGGACGAACAGTGGCTGTGGATTGGGCTGTAGCAAAGGATAAATATAAAAATACCCAGTCTGCCTCTGCTGCAGGTAAGATGTGTTAGTTCCAAGAGGCTTGTGCATTGTGGGGTGAGTGTGGAAATAACTACATTTAAAAATAAGGGCACCTGCTTGTCAGCGAGAATATTGGGTCTGAGATACCAAAAGCTCAAGATTAAGACAAAAGACAAAAGAGTAAGACAGAATAAGAAAACCTGAGTTCCTACTGGCTCAGAAATGAGCTTCTGGGGCTGTTTGTCAGTTCATATTGTCTGGTTTGGTGACCTGGTCTCAACACAGGATCTTTTAAGTCCAAGCCCCGTCCCGGAGTGGCTGAGCGAGGCGTGGGGTCTGAGATCATTGAGCCGCTGCCTGCTGTCCTTTCCCCGCAGTTTACAGTAGGAAGTGATGGAACAGTAAGAACAGGGACACTGTGTTATTTGCAAAACACCTGGCTTCTAGTTCACCAGGAGTTCAGAACTGACTGAGGTTCGAGGACATGAGTGGGCTGTGGGGCCTCTCGGTGAGCTCTTTGAGGCTCAGTTTCCACTTCTCTCATTTCAAGCAGATGAACCTTCAGGCTTCTGATGATGGGACAGATTTCAAGGGCATCTCAGCGATAAGGAGGATTTTGGGTTGTTTTTTGCTTTTTTCCCCTTCATATTTTCTCCATTATAAGCAAAGCCTATGAGACTGTAAAACCAAAGAAATTGGGAATTTTGGGAAATTATCAGCCTTGTTAAAAACTTGTTTTAGATATTAAGTGAATGCCTTACTCTCTTTATCTCCCTGGGTAGGTGAGGAAAAGAAGCCTAAACCTGAACAGGAATTAGATGAAAAGGATGGTAGGGGAAAAGAGGACATGGAAGAGGAAGATGGTGATGATGATGATGACGCTATGGAAGAGGATCATGAGGAGGACGACGACGAGGAAGAGGAGGATGAAGAAGCAAAGGTGACCAAGCCTGTGCCAACCCCCAAGAGGTAAGCAGCTTGGGGGTTCTAGAGGAAAAGCAGTTTTTCCCCACCCCAGCAGTAGAGTCGAAGAGATGAGTTGAATTGGCCTCTCTGTACCCCCATTCTTAGTTCTGCACTGTATCTTTGCAGAGCAGTCAAGAGGGCCTCTGTACAAAGCAGTGAAGAGGAGGATTCTGATGAGGACAGTGACTTGGAGGAGCGAGATGATCTTGATAGTGGGGAGGAACTGGCCCAGAGTGACACCAGCACTGAAGAGCGAGAGGATGAAGGTTTGCCCGGCATCATCTTGGACACCTTTGCCATCTGAATGAGTTAATGAGACATGGGCATTAGTTCACCTTAGCCTCTTTTTATTTTTATTTTTTTTAAGAAGATTGATTTATTTATGCATACAAGAACTGGGGTACAGCCCAGGGTGCAGGGCGTGAGAGGATTCACCAGAGACAGAGTGGGGAGCAGAATAGGCAGAGCTACTGAAACATTCTGCTGAGGGGAGCAGCGGGTGAGACAGGAGAGGTCTGCCAGGCCATGTGGGTCAGCTCCCTGGCTGGAGGTTGAACTTGTGCTGTAGTGGCTGCCAATAGCTTCACAGTCTGAGCTTTAACCCCTAGCGCCACAAGGGCGGACCCTCAGGCCTCTTTTTAAATAAGTTGTTCTGTCAGACACTTTTGAATGCTGAAAAGGAACTTGAGCTTTTTTTTGAGAAGAGAAAAGCTGGATTGATTTATTGCTAAGAGAAGCAGCAGGCAAGATGAGAGGCCTGCTGCACCTAGATTTCTTGTTTTGAAAAATCAGTTTAGTTTGGTATTTGAGAGTTAAGGTTTTTCCTTAGAGAATTTAAAACCTAGCTTAATACTAGGGTGCTCTTTCTCCCTGTCTCTCTTCAGACTGAATGAATCTGTATAAATAAGATATTGTATCTTAACACCAAAGTGGATTTTAAACAACTGTTTTGAGTTGAAATGGTGGTAAAGGACCTTTTGGGATATTGTGTGAACTGTAACCTAATCCTGTAGTGAACATTATCATGAAGGTTGGGGCTAACTCAGCTCGTTTATGGAGGAAGCAGTCATTACAAATGAGGAATCATCAATGATTGGTTCTTTAGTTTGTCTGGATGGTGGATTGTATTCACTTACCAGTCATTTCCTTTTCTCCAAGTCAGGTGTGTTCATATAAAGAATCCAAGGAAGTAAGCTTTTTCTGTGCAGAGAGAATGATAGACCCCTGAGAATCACAGAAGCTTTTATACCAAGGAAGCTATGAAACATGCATTCTACCACTCAGATGAATCTTTCTCTTCCCTTTCCTTCATTTGAGAAAATTATAGGACTAATATATAATAATGAGAAAAATAATAAAAAGTACAGTGCAGGAGAGTATAATACAGATATTAAAATTTCCTCACCAACCCCGCAACAGTCATCCCCAGTAAACAATGCTTCTTTTGCAATCTTCCAGGAATTTTCTGTGAAATGTATGTAAGCAGACATGTTCCTATTCCTAAAAGCCAGTGAGTCTATCACTTTACACAATACCCAGAGAAATACCCTCGGGGGCTACACAGATCCTTCCTTACCCAATAAGGGCGCCTTCCCGGAGACAACCTTGTGTGTCTAAAGAGGTTTAGTACATTTATAACCAAACACACAAATGTATACACACATACAGTATAGTGTATGTATGTGTTTGAATATATTTTTTTTCCTCCTCAGATATTCTACATATTTTACACTTCCAACAAATTTACCTTGTCATAACAGTATATGGGAATCTTTTTCTCCCCATATTTTTACCACAGTCTGCACCACCAGACTGGTTTTTGCCAGTCTGTTGGTGCATAATGGTATCTCGTTTTTTATGTTATTTTTCTTTAAGTGAGTTTGTGCATCTTTTCCTATGTTTAGTTAGATATCCATTGCTCATTTTTTTGTTTTTGTTTTTAAGATTTATTTATTTATTCATACAGAACTGGGGTACAGGCCAGAGATGCGGAGGGTGAGAGGATTCACCAGGGACAGAGTGGGGAGCAGAACAGGCAGACCAACGAAGTACACTGCTGAGGGGAGCAGCGGGCGGGTCAGGAGAGGTCTGCCACGCCATGTGGTCACCTCCGGGGCAGGCGGGGATCGAACTCATGCGGAAGTGGCTTAGGCTTCTTAGTGCAGTGCTTTAACCTGCTGCGCCACCAGGGAGGGCCCCGCATTGCTCATTTTTAATTGGATTTTTCTTACTGATTTATGTAAGATCACTGTATATTTAAGAAGTTATTCCTTTGTCTTATAGCTTGCACTAGTCTTTTTTCAGTTTCTTGGCTTTCTTTCTAACTCTAGATACACAAGCCTCAAAGAAAAAGAAGAAGAAGAAGTTACCCTCTGATGTGACAGAAGGCAAAACTGTTTTCATCAGGTGTGCCTTTCCACCATGGGAACTGCCATTTGTGTTGTCTCCATGGGTGTTTTTTCCTCCTTTCTTCCTTATTTGCTCTGATTCTGTTAGCTAGGTCAGAAGACCTGGCCTCCACGACCAGTAGCAAATCTGATTGCAGGGTCAGACCAAACAATGAGAATGTAGGAGAATCAGCTTATACCCAGAAAGTAGATAACAGGGGCCTGGGACTTCCTTTAGACTTCATTCTTTGTAATTGGGGTAACATCTGGAACAAGTTAGCTCTTCATTTGTTAAAAGCATCTTGCTTCCAGACTTTGTATAGGGGCAGTTTTGGAAAAAGGTGATACCACTTGTTTCAAACAGTTTCTCTCTTCAGTGCTAACTTATCCTCTAAAGTAGTTTCCAGAGTGAAACAAGGATTCTGTCTGCCTCCAGGAAGCCTGGGGGTGGGTCAGGCTGAGCTAGGCGCTGTTTTGCGTGGCCATTGCTGTCTTAGCCCTACGGACTGCAGGGCCATGGAGTCTAGTTTACGGAGTGCACCTCCAGCCTGTCTTCTCATCCTTTTTTTAGTACCAGCATGCTAAGGCCATTTGGGTCTTGTTTAAAGATGCATTGTTTTATTTTCTTGCAGTCTTGTGAGGTTTTTATTATGTTGATAATTTACATTTATTCTTGGAAATTTAGGAAGCACATAAGCAGAAAAGACAAATTAACCTTAATCACTACCTGGTGAACACCCACCTACACTTCTGCATCATAAATAATTACAAAGATGAGGCTAGCCCATTTTCTTCCTTAATAGCATGTTTTCCATTGTGTTATTTGAAATTGCCATATAAATAATTTTGTATTGGTAGAGGAGTCTAATAAGAAGGAAGAAATAGTCACACTTAGAAGTCTGTGACCTCAGCTTTAAGGATACCACTCCTTATACATCTTTTAGTAATAAAGAACTGGGAAAGCAAAGGGATGGAACATAGAGAATTGCACATGGCAAGGTAAATTAGGGGAAATAATGGAGGTAGGATATGTCATACCACAGAAAATCTTTTTAATCTTGGTTACCCCATGATAGAATCATTTATGGGGTATTAGTAACTGAGGACAAGAGAAGTGGCACTGTGATATTTATTTGGAACTGTTTTTCTGACCTTTGGAAGAATGTACATAGCTGGGGAAATGAGGAATCTGCACTGTGTTGAAATATGGAAGAACAAAATCTCCTTCCAACATATTTTAATTCCATTGAGGGAAATAGTTTTCTTCTTTTGCACTTAGCTAATAATACGTTAAAAGCAAACATGATAAAGTTTGTTTTGAAGGTTTACAAATTTGGAAGGTTTTCTGATTTTGTAAAATTTTAGCTGGAACTTGGGTTTCAAAACAGCACATGAGGAAATGGCGGGGAGAGGAAGGGCAGGGCAGGCATTTGACTTTGTCATTAGCCTACCGTGACTTTCATTTGTTTGTAGTAAAGAAAATTAACCCACCTCACCAGTTTAAGTGAAAGCAGGTTTGTTGGTTGAACATGCTGTGGCTCAGAGTTGTCAAGGAGCAACCCTCAAAGGACTAAAAGTTGGGGGTAGTCTGTGACCCTGGCTTTAGGAGATAGAAGTTCTAATATCTGTTCTGCAAAGTACATTAATCTTGAGTATACAGTGAAATTTTTCATACATACCACTTCACATAGTTATATTTACATATGTGGTATGCATCCCGCCCCCATACAACCTCTAGATAAAAATAAACCTTTTCAGCTCCCCAGAAGTCTCCTGCAGTGGGGACACTGCTGTTCTGAAGTAAGTCTTTATCTACAACTTCTGTTCTTTGTATGTCTGCTGAGGTTTTAGATTTCTGGGAGAGAGAATCTGCCATAGGCAGGAAGTCACGATGGCCAAGCTGCAGTGTCATTCACGCCTCAGAGGCCGCTGCCCTGTACAGCTGCTGTTCCTGAACAAGGGAGAGTGGTCGTGAGCTAAGGAACCACACTGGTTGAAGTCCTCCTCACACATTTTGCACCGAGACATAGGATATCACTTCTGTAATCGATCTCCCTGTGATCTGATTGTTTTCCATAGAAACCTGTCCTTTGACTCAGAGGAAGAAGAACTTGGGGAGCTCCTCCAGCAATTTGGAGATCTTAAATATGTCCGCATCGTCTTGCATCCAGACACAGAGCATTCTAAAGGTATTTGCTATCAGCTGGTCAGGGGAGGCCACTGCTGTGGGCACCGATTAGGCAGCAAGTGTGGGCCGTCCTGAGGGCCACAGCCCACACAGCTGAGGTTTCTGGGATCCATCCAAGCACAAGGACATTCAGAGGTGGTTTTCCATGATGTCAAATTCAGCATCTTTAATGCTGCTGCCAGCCATAATTTTGTCTAAGCTTTTTAAGCCCTTATTTATTTTAGGGTAATGAATTCCATTTGTTGTCCTCGTTTGAATTTCAAATGTGATAGCATCTCTTGGGTATTAATCATCTAACATTGCTTGAAATTACTGCTATCTTTTTCTGTTGCTTTTGTTAGAGATGGCAGCTGACAGAAGCTTTGGTACAGTAGCTACAGTCGGAAGGGAAACTTGCGACAGGAGTGCTGCATTAGATTTGTTCTGTTTTCTGAAACGATTTAAGTTTCAAGGGCTGACCACCCCTAATTGTAGTACAGTGTTGTGAGGGTAACCATCTTTTCAATGTATCATATATAGCCTTTGGCTTCACTAACTACTGTCATTCTAAAGAAGCACACACTTACTCATTTTAACTCTTGTAAGATAAACTGAACTTTCTAGAAAAATCCTACTTCTATGGGTTTTTTATGGGTTCTCTGGAGCCTGTTATGTATTGAGAATCTCCATTTTAGGGCCTCCTAGATGGTCTCAGGGCTAAGTTTCAGCACTATCAATGCTGCGACTTGAGTTCAGATCCCTGGCCAGGGAGGTGATCCACATGGCGCAGCAGACCTCTGTTGTCTCATCTGCTGCTCCCTTTAGCAGAATTTCAGTTGATCTGCCTGTTCGGCTCCCCACTCTGTCTCTGGTGAATCCTCTCACACCTCTGGCCTATATCCCAGTTCTACACACACACACACACACACAAACCAAAAAAAAATTTCCATTCTAAACCTTGTTTTCCAAGTTAATGAGGCCTGATTATTTTTAGTTTTTACTCAGTTAAAAAAAGGTGTAAAGAAGGCAGTATGATGGAAAGAAAACTAAACTTTCCTGAGATTAGGGTTCTAATCTTAGAGCAGCTAGGTAACTTTTGGCAAATCGTCCACTGTGGGCTTATAGTTTCTTATCTGTAAATGAGTGTGCTCAACTAGCACACTCACTTAAGGTACCTTCAGCTCTTACATTTATTACACTTCGAGTACCTTCTCCACTTCTAGTATGTTTTTCTTAAAATGGGCAACTGAAATTGCATACATTGTTTGATTTTTCTAAAGGCTTTTGCTGTACGTTACTTTGATATGATACCTTTTGTGTCTTTGGAGTGCAGAAGTATGTTGGGTTGATGCAATCTTCTGTTGACTTGTTAAGTTTCTTTCTTGCTCTATTAATTTTAGTTGAGTTAATGACTTTTATGAGCATAATTTTCATTACTTTTTACGCATTGTCTTTCTCTAGCTCCTATTAAATTTTCCTGACACTCTTTCTGCCTACTCACACAACTTGGCCTCCTCCTCCAGCTTATTGCTGTCAGCGTGCCATTTCACTTCCTGGGAGAGCTAAATCTTATCTGCAGACTTTTAGGGACTGAATCCAGTACTGACCCTGGAAATTCCAATGAAAAATTCTTACCCATTCAGAGAGAAATGCCGTTTTTTTCCATATTGGACAGATAGGATAATCTGCTTATTTTTTCTTACACGTTCCTTCATTACTTGCTTCTTCCTATTGAGTATCAATGCGAGATACTGTAGCTGGTGCTAGGAATATAGAAGCAGCCAGAAAGCATGCCCCTGACTACTGAGCTCTTCTGTCTGACCAGTACTGTCACAGAGGAGAGTGGAGGTCTGGTTGTGGTGGGGACCTTGACTTTGCCTAGAGGAGGCAGAGAAGCCCTCACTAGGTGTGACCCTTGGGTTGACCGGCCACACACATCCTGTCAGTGGGTCTGCTGCTGTTCTTGCAAGAGCAAAAGGTCAGTGTCCTGTTAAGTCTACGAAATATGGCGTCCTTTTCACAGGGACTATTTAAAGTTTAAAGGAATACTAATGAAATATTACGAAACTTGTATTTCTTTTTTGGAGTCTGTTGTAAGGGGAGCTTTTTCTCTGTCTCTAAAGGCACTTTTTATCAATAGCTGAAGTTGGGATGGCTGGCTCGCCCCTCCATCTGGCCAGTTGAGAGGTTACAGTGGAAATTCTAGCACGAGTCGGGAGTTGCTCACAGCTCTTGGATTCACTGCTCTCTTCAGTGATAGCGGTCAGGGACATTTACCCGGAACACATCTGCCCCACCCTGGTGCCTCCCAGTGAGGGCTGGAATGAATTTCCTGCCTTATTTTTTAGTCCTCTGATAGACACCTGGTAAGTGATGCCGTATTGGCTTTCTAATGGAATTTCTTTGCCATTTCTTGTGGGTATTTTTTACTAAGGTGAGAGAGTGAGATGAGCGTTCTGAGAGCATTGGAAAAGACAGGTTAGTGATGAAATCTCACTGTGAGCAGTGTGCTGTCTGCTGTCTTTGCCCCTTCAGTGCCAGGCACAGCACCTGCCTCCCAGCACTCCACGGGGACACGCTGCTCCCTGCTGTCAGGCCACCGCCACTGAGGGGCTGGCTTTGGCTTCCGGTGGGCCACGGGGTTTGGGATGTCATTTAATTTTAATTTTGTCTCTTATGTAGGTTGTGCCTTTGCCCAGTTCACGACTCAAGAAGCAGCCCAGAAGTGCCTTGAGGCTGCTTCTCCAGAGACGGAGGTGAGGAACTCCTTTACCCTGTGACTTAGACAATAGTGAGTGCCAGGGCTGATACCCGATGTGTGCACAGAGCTCTGTTACCACTGTCAGTAATGTAATTAACACTTACTGAGCTTTACGTATTTACCTTATTTAGTCCTCCTTACCATCGGCCCTATGGGGGCAGATGAGGGAAGTACAGATATTATCCCTGTTTTAGGTAAGGAAATAAATACAGTAATGTTTCTAGTCTTTACTGATCACTGCTGCTCTCTGAGGCTGATGGCATGAAAGGATTGGACAAGAAGCCGTTAAGTTCATTATGAAGTGGAGCAAAGTTTCAGAGAGAAAGTGTGTGGATGAACTTTTCTGTGTATTTTATACCAGGTATAAATTTTTTTCAGCAATTTATACCAATTGCTGTTAACCTGTATTGGTACTCAGAGAATGTAAGAGACTTTTCGTTAGTCTTTTTTAGTACACTAAAAATTTGCCCATTTTCAGATCATTGTCCTTAATTTGGGCCTACTTTGGGATTAATCCATTAGCACAGAATAAATTACGTTTGGCTGACTGCCCTACGTGCACACTTAGGAGGGACAGAAGATTAGTGCCTCAGTTGTTCTAGAGAAGTATTACATTATTTTCACATGGTTTAAAGGAATATAACAAAATAGAGCTCTTGCACTGTTAGTACTAAAACCTGTTAGACTCAGGGTTCCTCTTGTGGTCAGCTGAGCTCTGGGGGTTGGCTTGCACAGCATAATTGGGGTTTCTTGCCAGGTGCTTAGTTTCTACTTGTTACGTGTTTTAAGAGAGCTCTGCAATCTATTACAGGGCGGTGGACTTAGACTGGATGGCAGGCAGCTCAAGGTGGACTTGGCAGTGACCCGTGATGAGGCTGCAAAGCTCCGGACAAAGAAAGTGAAGAAGCCAACTGGAACCCGGAACCTCTACCTGGCCCGAGAAGGCTGTGAGTAGTGGGAGGCAGGAAGCAGGCTTCTGAGGAGCTGGGCCCGTACCAGGAGCTGACCTACAGTAGTGTCTGTGAGGGCATGTTTCAAATTAAAAAGCCATACGTCTTCCTTAACAGTGATATGTTACTGCTGTTCCACTTGTGCACATGTGGTTTTCACCAAATTTTTGAATTTACTGGTCCTATTCTCTTTTCTGCCTCCTTGCTTTTAGACCTTTCCACCAGAGGATTGGCAGAGCGAAGAGGGAGGAAAAACTTGAAATATCTTTGCTTCTTGTCACTTCTAATAAGAGGTTTTCTGAAGGAGTTGAAAATTAGGACTAAAATTATTCTTGGATTATTCATGGATTTAAAATGTACACTCAGTACCTTTCCCTTAATGTCAAAGATAATCAGAAATCAGCTTTAATCTAAAAGACAAATTCTTTCCTCTAGATCATACAGTATTTTTCTGGCCACTTTCTGCAGCTGCACAGCTGGGCCAGTGGTGGAAACCCTTAGCCTTTGCTGTGTGGCCTCTCAAAGGCACTGTGCCTTCGGCTGGCTTATCCAGTGCTCAGTAATGGGCCCAAGTTCATGAAGAGCAGTGATGTTCCCAGGCCAGGTTATAGGGTGGATGTTCCAAATGCCAAGTGTGCTGATATTCAGAACTCCCTCTAGGTCTTTTCACCTGACTTTGGGGATACACATGAAGCTTCTTTGAGAAAAGGAAAGGAGAAACAGCAAAATCACAAAGTGTTCAGAGTTGGTCCTTGGGAGTAGCTTGGAGCTGAGATGTGGCCCTGTAGCCTGCTTCTACACCTATCCGAAAGGCCCTGAGTCCTCTGGGCCCTTGCATCATTCAGATCACATTCCTCTTGTTGCTCAGTGAAAATTCCCTTGCTGATGTCTTGGCCTTTTTCCCTCTTTTCCAGTGATTCGTGCTGGGACTAAGGCTGCAGAGGGTGTGAGCGCTGCTGATATGGTCAAAAGAGAACGGGTGAGTAGACTGGGCACCAGCAGCCTTCAGGTTCTGCACGACTTGGTACAGATTAGAACTATTGAATGCTAGAGGTGCTCATCAGAGAGCCAAGTGTTAGTCATGGGTCTCGATTACACTCTTGTTAGCAGGACAGCACAGGCTGAACAGGCAGATTCCCAGCACTATGAATTCACATGAACTTCAAGTGCCATTGTAAGAACTGCATGTTATTGTTTGTCTTCCTATGGCTTAGCAGTAAACATTTATGCTTCTAGAACATGCAGAAAATATGTTGGGGCTGTATCTGAGGAAGAGTAGGTGGACTGGAGTTAGAAGGGAAAGAAGTAGATGTGAATCTTGAAGGGTGGGCAGCTAAAAATGTTCCTTTCGCTGGGACATACTTTCCAGATGATAATTTTAGGACAACTCTGTGATACAGGAATTGCCACTGATGACTGATACCATTAAATTCCTTTACTGGTTGTGCCTACTAGTTTTACTTTGGTCCTTGTAGCTTTCAAAAAACTAAGGCAGCAAAGATGGCCTAGCTCTCAGAATTGGCTGTGGGGCCTGAACGTGCAGAAGGCGCCCTTTTTGGTAGTGAGCATTTGGAAATCATGCTATCGGGGCTTCAGATGCCCCTTTCTGACCACAGTGTCAGAGGGACGTGTTTACTTTCATGCATTAACAGACTGTTACTCTCTAGCGAAATGCTCTCTGTGTTATAATAAGCAATATAATTCACAGCAGGCAGAACCTTACTAGGGAGAAAAACCATTCTGGTGACCTTAGGCATGATAGGCTATTCAGAAGTCCCCTTATTATTCATCTCCAGAGTATTTGTTTAGTTTGCAGGTTATTAGTACCTTTACCAAACAAGGAACAACAGGAAAAGAGACAACTTGTTATTAAAAAATTAAGGCTATTTTCTAGCTAGCCTGATTCTTAAAAATGAGCCAGAAGAATGTCATCCTGTTTTAGGGACAGGTTGCCCTGGAACATGTTCTGTGCAGCATAGGGGAGGCGTTCTGTGGCACTAGAAACAATCATTTCTGTGGTCACGGACATTCCTTTGCCTCAGGGTGGCAGAGTTGAGACAAGACAACATTCTATCAAGCATTCTTTAAATTCCATTTCCTTTTGGAAAATAGTTTGAGTTGGTGAATAGATAAGGACTGAGCATAGATGCTACTAGTTTTATTGTTTGTTCTGGGACAGGTTTTGACTTTGTGATTTTATGTAAATTACCTTTTGGCCTCATGTTATTGTTGAGAAATAGCTGTTTTTAAAAAAGATTTATTTATGTATGTAAGAGCTGGGGTGTAGGCCAGAGATGTCTGTGTGTGTATGTGGATTCACCAGAGACAGACTGGGGAGTAGAATAGACAGATCACTGAAATATGCTGCTGAGAGGAGCAGCAGGTGGGTCAGGAGAGGTCTGCTGTACCCTGTGGGTCACCTCCCTGGCTGGGATGGAACTCCCAACTGCAGTGGCTGTGGACAGCCTCACAGTGCTGTGTCTCAACCCCTTGCACCACCGGGGAGGGCCCTGCTATTACACTTTTATCTGTGGTTCCACTTTATAGATGAGAAGAGTTGAGGCTTTGAACATTTTAGGAACTTCTGCAGTTAGGGATGGATTTCCAGTTCATTCCGATTCCAGAGCCCATGATCTTACCTCTTGGCCCCTTGCCTCCTTGAACTGTTCCCTGTGCTGGGCCTCAAAAGTGATTTGTCTTTACTCTCTTTTCTACATGGGTGGTTATTGGATGGGGGTCATGTTTCCATCCTGTGGGAGAATTAACTTCTGCATTGAGACTGGGTTGTATTAACAATTTGTTGTTCTTGCAGTTTGAGCTATTGAAACATCAGAAACTCAAAGACCAGAATATCTTTGTCTCCCGGACCAGGCTCTGCCTCCATAATCTGCCAAAGGCTGTAGATGACAAACAACTCAGAAAGCTGCTGCTGAGTGCCACAAGCAGGGAAAAGGGGGTGCGCATCAAGGAGGTAAGAGTTGGCCCTGCCCACTCAATTTGGTATTCGCCCTGAGGTGTAGGCTGGGCGTTTATTGCCGGAATGGTGTGAGCAGAGCAACACATTTTCTTCTGACTGATTGTCAGGGTTGTGTTCATCAGTTTTCTTTTCTGAGAATTGTCCTACCTGACCAAATTGCACCAAAATGTAAGGACATCTATGTTCTGGTGAATTTGGTGGCATTTACTGAATGCCTGCTGTGTTTAGCATTATACTAGGTGCTGTAATGGTAATTTTTCTTTTTTTTTTTTAAAAAAAAAGATTTTTTTTATACATACAGAACTGGGGTATAGGCCAGAGTATGGGGAGGCATGAGAGAATGTGGATGTCCCAGAGACAGTGGGGAACAGATCAGGCAGATTGACTGAAATACGCTGCTGAAGGAAACAGCGGGTGAGACAGGGGAGATCTGCTGTGCCTCGTGGGTCACCTCCCTGGCTGGGGATCGAACTCTTGCTGCAGTGGCTATGGATTGCTTCAAAGTGCTCTCTTTAACCTCTTGTGCCACCAGGGAGGGCCCAAAGTAACTTGTTTCTTACTGATTCTGTCAGGCACATCATCCTGCAAGTACTGATTCTTTGTTTTATTCTGCTTACAGTGTAGAGTGATGCGAGACCTTAAGGGAACTCAGGGGAAAAATAAGGGTCAGTCCCTGGGCTACGCCTTTGCCGAGTTCCAGGAACACGAACATGCGCTGACAGCTCTGCGGCACATCAACAACAACCCCGAAATCTTTGGGGCTCAGAAGGTGAGCCTCATCCTGTGAGGAGAGCGGCTCAAGGAGGGCCACTTGGAGAAGGCTTCTTTTCCCTTGTGGTCGGTGCCCTCTGACATTTGTGAGGTGGGAGAGCAAGTCAGTGGAGGAATGAGCCATGCTTCAGAGGATGGGATGAGTGGAAGGCGGCTGAGTTGGGTAGGCTGCTGGCTGAACTGGCCACTGGCCTTCCAGTCGAGTGAGTGAACAGCAGCCTCTGACTTAAATAAAGAGGGCAGTGGTGGGGAACAGCTGTTATTGTCCTCAGAGAGGAGGATGCTAACGAATGACATTCTCTTGCCTTACACAGAGACCAATAGTGGAGTTCTCTTTGGAAGATCGAAGGAAACTTAGAATAAAGGAACTAAGGACCCAACGCAGCCTGGTACAGAATTTTTTTTTTTTTTTAAATGATGAAGCACACATAACCCCAAGCTAACCATTTTGATGTGTATAGTTCTGCTAAAACAATTTATAAGTCCATATTTCATCTCTTCTTGTTCAGGTTGTACTTCTGTTCCCTGTGTAGGTCTCTGGCTCATTAGGTTTTTAAATTACCTTTTTTAACTCCTGGTTCCCTCGAACTCTCCAGGTCACCTGCTTTCAGGTCGTCTTGTAGCTCCACAGAAGGGATAGGGAGGAGAGTGGAGAGTTAGGCTGGTGTTATCAGGCAGTTCCTGTACAGTGCTTGGTGGTGGTACAGGTCTGGTGGCAAAGTAGGTGTTAGCCATCCTTCCACAGTTCTTGTTTTCTGAGGTTTCTCCAGAAGTGTGATGTCCCATAGTTTAGAACTTTTTTTTTTTTTTTAAAGATTTATTTATTTATTCGTACAGAACTGGGGCACAGGCCAGAGATGTGGAGGGTGAGAGGGTTTACCAGAGACAGAGTGGGGAGCAGAACAGGCAGATCGACGAAGTACACTGCTGAGGGGAGCAGCAGGCGGGCCAGGAGAGGTCTGCCTCGCCATGTGGTCACCTCCGGGGCAGGTGGGAATCGAACTCATGTGGAGGTGGCTTTAGTTTCTCAGTGCAGTGCTTTAACCCGCTGCGCCACCAGGGAGGGCCTAGAACTTTTTTTTTTTTTTTTTAAAGATTTATGCTTATAGAACTGGGGTACAGGCCAGAGGTGTGGTGGGTGAGAGGATTCACCAGAAGACAGAGTGGGGAACAGAACAGGCAGACTGACTGAAATACACTGCTGAGGGGAGCAGTGGGCGAGATAGGAGAGGTCTGCTGTGCCATGTGGTTCAGCTCCCTGATTGGGGATCGAACTCATGCTGCAGTGGCTTCTGAGAGTTTCATAGTGCAGAGCTTTAACCTGTTGCGCCACCAGGGAGGGCCCCAGAACTTTTTTTAATCTAGTATGGCCTAGAGGAAAAAGCAGAGACTTTGGGGTTAAGAATACTCCATTCAAACTCTGACCCTCCCTTTTCTGCGGCATGTCCCTTGGCAAGTTACTCCCTCTCTCACTCTCAGTTCTTAGTGTTAAAATGGCATCTGCCTTGTGCAATTGATGAGGATCAAGTGAGAGTACAGGTCAGTTGCCTCACATACCACGCATCAAGGTGCATTTCGTCCCTGCCTCCCCCAGGACCTACATGATACACACCCTGTGACCTCCCGCTGTCACTGACACTGTACTTTAACTTGCGCATAGACGACACATGCGCAGTCTGTGGGGTGGATGCCGTGGGCATGAGCAGCGGAGGAGCAGCTTAGTGGCTACTGCAGTGGTCCTGTGTTGGAAAACTTGGGCTCTGGCTACTGTGCAAGGCGAGTTAGTTACCCTAGGTTCAGAATTATTTACTTCCCAAGCCATAGCTTCAGAGGTCTTTCTGTTGGCTTAAGGAAAAATTTGACGTGGCTTTATTTGTTGCCTATATGTACATGCTTGCTGCCTTTCTGTGTGAACGTGCCCCTTTTCCGACCCACGGTGCTGGTGCTCCGTATTCAGATCAGATGTACCTAGGCAGCACTTTCCCACCACTCTCAAAGGAGAGAAGACCTCACTGTGCATTTGTATGAACTTTCTTAAACTCTCTAGGCCTTTTCCTTTGCTTATAGTTCTTACCTCACATTCCTAATCATCTTGAAAGGTGGACACTTTATTCTGTGTCCTTTACCATTTACTTCATCACAGACTCTCACAGGACAGGCACGTTTGTAGGTCTTTGTTGCCTCAGTGTGCCTATCTGGATTCTGAAGGTGAAAATGAGCAGTGGCACTAATTTACCTTGAAGCTCCTTGGTCTCCTTTCGACTCCACACAACATAAACCTAACAACCTTGGTGCTTCTTTCCCACAGCATCTTCCCCTGGTCTTTCTCTTCACTTGTTTTTTCTCTAAATTTCTTCTTTCTGTGGAGTCTCATTTCTGAGGTAGGCCATGCCACTTTGCTAAAGACTTTTAGTTCAACTGCTTTTTACATATAAGGTCTGCCAGTGACATTTCCTCAGTTTTTATTTATCTCAGAAAAATCCTTATTCTCCTTCACTTTTGAAAAATAATCTTGCTGAATACACAATTCTAAGTTTGTGATATAATTTTCTTTCAAGCGCCACTCTCCTGCTTATGTAAACAAGCCCAGTGTTATCTTTGTTCCCCCTTTACCAGTTACTTTCTGCAGTCTCTCCTATTTACCTTACTTGGCATTCTCTGATCTTTGGTTTAGTAGGTCTTGAATTTTGGAAAAATCTCGGTCATTGTTATTTCAGATATTCCTTTTGGTAAGCCCATTACATGCTTGTTATAGCTTTAGCAATTATGCCATGCCCTTGGCATTTTATGCTTTTGTCTCTGACTTTGGAGCCTTGGGCATGCAGGGGCTTTCTTCTGTTTCTGCTTATGGAAAGGAAGTGGTGGTTTTGGGTCTCCCACCTAGCAACCGTCTGTGTTAGGGCCTGTGAGCTACCTGTATTCACTTTTCAGTAGTCTGTAACTATCTGGGGGAAGAAGCTCCCTGTGATCAAGCTCAGCGTGAAGTTCCTGCAAACAGAAACTAGATGACAGTCTCTTGTTTTGTGTAGCAAAAAATGAACCCTCAGTCCTCAGCGGGTGAGCCCCAGCAGGCACAACGAGAGCCTGGAAAAGAGAAGCCTGGAAAAGAGAAGCAAAGGAAAGCAGGCCAGAACCACGCCCAGAAAGCAAGCGGGGCCCCGGAGCAGAACGGGAAGGCAGGCTCCGTCTCGTGGGCTGGGTTCCAGACCCAGGCCGAAGTGGAGCTGGTGGAGCTGCCAGATGGGAAGAAGAGAAGAAAGGTTCTGGTGCTCCCTTCTCACCGCGGCCCCAAAATCAGGTGAGCTGCAGAATGGTATCACAGAACAGGTGGACTGCTGAGGGGCTTGTTCTTGTGTGGCCCTTTTCCTCTTTGTGGCTTTTGCTTGGGTGGAAGAGACGCGTAAGGCCGCCCCGGCCCACACAAAGGGTCAGTGTGCAGGCGTCCCTGCACCAGCGGGGAGTCACCTTGGGCCCAGAGGAGTGGAAACAGGACTGGCAGAGGGGCCCGTGGGAGCCCTCCCGCGCAGGCGGTCGTGCCGTTTTCCTCTTCTGAGGGGTGCCTCCTACCAGACGGCTGTCAGCTGAGGTCCACCTACCTGAGCTGACCCTGCGGCTCGTGTGGGGCAGCAGGTTAGTGCTATGAATAAAAGCAGATCTTTACTTTGAATATCTGTTCAATAAATGAAGGTTGAGAGTCTCTTGATGCTTTAAGCCAAAACCCCAAAGTCAACAGCAAGCCTGCAACTGCTGACAAGGATGCTGTTTCAGGACCCCGTCTTAGAGCGACTGGCCACGGGCTGAGAGCCAGCGTAAGAAAAGGAAATTCTCCGGGCTGAGAGAACCTCGGGGGTCCTAATTAGAGAGAGAACGGAGGATGAAACCTACTTGACCATTTTATTTCAGGTTGCGGGACAAAGGCAAAGTGAAGTCTCTCCCTCCCAAAAAGCCAAAGCCCCAGATGAACCAGAGGAAGCAAGAGAAGCAGAAATCATCTTCTAATCAGGTGAGTTCTGTGGGGCAGCTGTACTGGGACTAGCGGCCCCTTTTGCGCCTGGATTGTTGAGCGAGGAGAAAGGGCTTCTTGGCATGGGCGCTGGAGCTGTTTAGAGGCTGCTGAGGTGCACAGTCTGGACAGTGGGGAAAATAGCTGAATGAGCCCCCATGTCTTGCATTACTGTGCTTTAACAATGATACTGTTTTACCTGTTCCCCGTAACACTCCTCGCCCTCTATATTAAAATTACTTGTCACGTACAATGCAAGTACGGCTTAGAAGAACACCTCCAGATGCCTCTCCGGTAACTGATCAGGCCTTTCTCTGTCTCTCTCTCTCACACACACACCACATGCAGTGTGTTCACATATTTAAGGAAATTAGCAGGAAGCCTTTAATGTCGTCTCAGGCATTCCATATTAAAGTGGTCCCACTGGCCTCAGAGGCGTTCATGTGTCCGTATGAATCAGGATCCAGGCAAAAGTCCACAAATTTTGGTTTTGATATCTCAAATCTTCCCCCCTTATATTGTCCACTCTTTCTCCTGCACCCTCTTTCGCCACATTCCTTACTAATTTGTTAGATCGTTTGCCTCTTAGAATGTATTTATTACCTTTTGAACTTAGACACTTGCTTTCTTGTGGTGTCATTTAACCTGCTCCCTTAATACTCCACGTTGCCATGAGCTGTGAGATTAGTTAGATTCAAGTTCCGTTTTCTTGGCCAGAGTATTTCACAGACAGTGCTGTGTGCTTTCCATCACATCACAGCATAAGGCACACGATGTCTGATGGCCGCATTTTAGCGACGCTCAGCTCCAGCTGGACTCGGGGGTGTCTGTCTCCCCTTCCTTTGTGACTTCCTGTCAGCCTCTTGCTTGGTGGTCTTAGTGGCCACTGAGGGCTGTCTGATGCATTATTTCCTTATGAGTTGCAGAATGGAGATCTAGTATTATTGATCGTTTTGCAGCCTTTGGTAGAATTCTAGAAAAAAATCTCAACTATTTGGTTACCATGAAATATCACTTGTGTAGGAAAATCGGAATAATGCCTGATGTTTTTCTGTATATCTCCAGGGGAATAGTTGTGCCCTACCAGCCTCTGGTGGCGACCGGTGAGATTCCTTTGTATTGTGAATTCCTGAGTTTTACATGCTTGATATATTTCAGTCGCATGTAGTGTACTTGTTCCCTTTCAGGCTAGGAGACGCCCTGCAGGCGCGGATCCTTACAGTGGTTGACTGAAGGTTTTTCTCTCACGGCCTCTCTGGAAGTTCACTCTGGACAAGATCTCTGTAGCTACTGTTTTCTTTCTTTGGAGTCCTGAAAGTAATGCTTAAAATTATTTTGTTTCTTTTCATATATAGGCACCTAGGAAAAAAGCGAAGGGAAACAAGACAGAAGTTCGCTTCAATCAACTGGTTGAACAATATAAGCAAAAATTATTGGGACCTTCTAACGGAGTGCCTCTTGCAAAGAGGAGCAAATGGTTTGACAGTTGATGCCAGCAGCCTGGATGAGAAGCTGGATTATATGCTTCTTGGTAAAGCTCCCAGCCTCCCCTCTTCCCCACCAGCCTTTATGACGACAAGAAACCCAAGTGCACGTCACACTGGTGGGTGGCCCCCTGGACTGTGCACATCTGAACTTTGACCCCTCCCAAGTGTGCTTAATTAACCACAAAGAAATAGCAAAACGATGTCATTGCTTCTTGCATATTATCCAGATTACTTGTGAACTTGTGTCTTTGATTATTTCCCATTTTTAACTATTTCCCAAGTGGAACCCATTGTAAAAAGTGCCAAAATTTTTAAGATGTACATTTTGTTGTGTCTTCTGTAAATGAGATATTTTGTGCCTTTATGATTAACAGACTGTATCTCATTCCTAATACATGCGGATCTCTTATTTATGGACATTTTTTATATCCCTAACACTAATTCTGTTATGTACTCCTTTATACTGCAGAAATAGATTATGTAAGCACAGAGAAATGATTTTCCAGTGTAACCTGAGGTTGAGAGAAACTTGGAAAGTGATTGAGGGCGGTGGGGCCTGGAGAGCGACACCTGCTAGTTGTTTGCTGAACCAGCAGGTGATTGCTGGTATTTGATAGAATCACTCACCTGGCTGGCAGTAACCTGCACTTTGTCTCACTGAGGGTCTTGTCCGGGAACTAAGGGAGTGGATGGCAGAGAGTGAGCATGAGGCCTGTGGCCTTTACCTGGTGGGTGGCCCGAACCAGACAGATGCTTTGGACCTTAGCATCTTCATCTGTAGGATAATTTAAAAGTTTTCTTTGATCATCCCAGCTTTTTTCCTAACTCATTCTATCTATATTGCTATTTTTTCTTTTTTAATCTTAGAGATGGGTTTCATTACTTTTCAACTTTTTAAGAGGTATCCCAGAAGCTGGGAGGAATGATGGTAAGATGTGATCACTGGGAAGAAATGTTCAAAACCTTCCACTGAGTTGCTAGTGCCTTGAGCTGCCAGGCCACACCTATGAAACCGTGTCTTGACCAAGTTGGGAAGGAAATTAAAAAGGTCATGAACAAAGTTGATCATGAGTTGACTTGTTGAAGCTGGTCTTGGAGAAGTGGAAATTGCTTCCAGTCTGTGCTTTGGTGGATGTCTGAAGTATTCCAATAATGAAAGTTAAAGTCAGTTAAGTACCTGAAGGAAGTGGGTACTGATTTGCCTGAGAAGGGAGTTCGTGGGTGCTTGGAGGCAGATGAGTGAAGCCAGAGTTAGGTTTCGGCTCAGTATAAGAAGGAACGTCACCCTCACGGTCAGAGGGACGTTGCTGGCACCGCCTGAGTGGAGCTCAGCAAGCCCCTGATACTGTCCAGCGCTGTACAAGGGGATTGGGTGAGAGAAGCCACCAGGTGCTGTCAGGTGGTTAGTGTTTGGCCCCAAGGTGACCCGCAGACATGCTTCCTGTCTCACTGGAGGCGTGGAAGCCCCTCTCTGGAGAAAATGTCATTCTCCAGTGTCCTTCCCCACTTGGTCATAAGTCTGCCCTGTGGATGACAGGGCTTCGGTTCTGCTTCAAGCCTTCCTGTGGCTTCTTGTTGACTGAAATCTGACTGTCTTTCTGTACTGCCGGGCTCTAGGCCCTCCAGGCCCAGCACCCTCTGCCTGTACTTCATCCACCCCCCATTTCCTTCACTCTGGGCCGCCGGGGTCTGCCTTAGTTCTTTTCACTCTTTACCACCTGGAGCCTTTACATTTGCTCCCTTCACCCTCGAGGGCTTTGCCCTCAGATCTTTTGTCACTCACATTGCCATCGAACTGTCACCCTCTGGAGCTCTTCCCTGACTGAAGTAGGACTTTTCTTTCCCTCCCCTCCATCCTACCTCTGAATTCTGTCACCTGTTTTTCTTTGTAGCTTATTTGTATCTGAAATCATCTGTTTCCCCGAGAAAGCATGCGTTGTGAGAGGAACTTAGTTTCACTTATTCTCGTAGACAACACCTAGAATTGAATCTGGCACAGTAGATATCAAGTAAATAGTTTTTGAATGAAAAAACCAAAACAGTACTCAGTCGGCCAGAGACAGAGTTGAAGTAGAACCCAGAGTTCTTGTTCCCTGGTCCAGTCTGATGCTACAATAATGCTTCCTTCAGGATCTTTGCCAACCTCAGGATGTCACTATTTACGACGATGTCTTGGAAACTGAATGTAGACCCTTAATGAGGAATGAAAGGGAGACCATGAAAGTGTCAAAACCTTCTTTTGGAAAGAACTAATGGACAGAGGCAGTATCTCCAGAGCTACCCTGAGACAGTGTGATGGGGAGAGTTTGTTCTTTCACTAGCTTGACAACGCACTGGCCCTCAGATGGTGTCTACCGGGGAGGGAGAGCGATCCTTCGTTGAGGGCCCACACAGAAAGTCCACAACCTGCCTGCTAGCCCATCTGTTTCCCCCTCATCAAGTCTGTCTCTCCTCTTTTTTCCCTTAGTATACAAATATCTACAAATTAACATTCAGAAATAGATCCTAGCATTGAGGATAGCTAAAACTCGGTGTTCATGCCATTAGCCTTGCCAGATTTTCTTAGATCCAAATATTTCTTCTGACAGCTTCAGCAGCCCAAATGTTTAAAACATTTAACTGCTTGAAAGTTACTGCCTAATTTTTTTTTTTTTTTTTTTTAAAGTAGTAGGCCTATCACCCATGTTCTCAACAACCAGCTCCCTCACACCACGTCGTCCTCTGGGACCCCTCACCTTGGGTCACCTGGGCGGCTTCTTGTCCTCTTGCCTCGGGTACTGATGCAGCAGGAATTGTGCTCACTTCAGAAGCCATGTTTTGAGATGGAGTTTTCTGAATTAAACATGAAGGTGGTGGCGAAAGCAGGACACTAACAAACATTTCTGTTAACATCCTACGGCGACGAACATGAGTCAAAACTATCAAGTGTCAGTAACATTTCCCTGTGGCCTTGCTCAGACAGTTCCTTTAAATAGACAACCTGAGGTGTGTTGGCTGTTCCTTTGCTGCTGCTGGGGGAGGGTGTGGTGGTGAGGGGTTTCCTGGGGACTGGGGGTGCTACTTGGTAGTTTAAAGAATCTCCTCTGATCTAGGATATATAGTCCCTTCCCATAGAATTGGCCTGTGGCAAGGTTTATGCTTCAGCACTCTTGAAACAAGGTCTGCAGCTTTATTACAGTCAGCGCACGTGAGCCCATTCTTCAAAATGCTTCCAAACTCCCTTTGGTGTTTTTTTTTGCCACAAAAAGAGGTTTTTCCAACTCAAAATTCAGAGCCCAGCACCTCAAAGCTCTGGAGATTCCCTGCTCAACCAAGTATTTGACCTTGAGTCCTCTGAAGCAGCAGGAGGTCAAGAGTGCCACAGTGCGTGCTGACCACCCAGAATTTGCAGTCTGACACCCTCATGCTGCCCCGAGTAGCCGGTTCTCTGCTTAATATCCTGTGAACTTTTTGTGACATGACTGACAAGGGTCTGCCAGTTCTGTCATGTGAGCAGCAGCCCTGCCCACACCGCCTGAACATTCCTGCTCCATCAGGACTGAGGCCACAGCATCGGGCCGTGAGGCCGCCCAGAGTGACTGGCTCCGCTTATCTGATGCTCAACTCTTGCCTTTTCCCACTCAGCCCCAACTGGCACTTTGAGGGCCGAGATAAGGTTGCTTTGTTCTCTCAGGCCAAGAAAGATTTCTAGGCTTCCCTTTGCCCAAGACTGGCCAATTTAGAAGTTAGTCGTGTGCTTTGTCTTACTTTGTTTCTTTCATTCTTGTCCTGGTCCCTCTTCCTTTCCAGGATTAATTGCAGAGTCTGAGGCTGCTTATTGATTGGGTGTTACTTGGGGGCCCTGACATGGGTGAGTTATGGGGGCCTCTACAATGCCTTTGGCTTCTCATACTGAACTGGTGTTTGGCTGTACAGGCGCGTCTCTGTGAAGGAGTGAGAAAAATTTGAAGGGCACCAGACTGACAGGTAACAATTCTGAGAGAACTGCAGTGTCATCAGAAGGCCTTTTTGGCCACCCTTAAATGGAGCTTTTTGATGGACGGCAAACCCAGTTTTCCTTAGATTTGTCCCTGCTGCCCAGAGCCTGCCTCCTTTTCTCAGACTTAGCATTTTACAGCTGCAAAGTCATCTCCAAATCTCCTTCCCTGGACATTTGACAAGGAAAATCCTCTCTGTCCTTGAAGGCAGGGCTGTATTTTACACTTTTCTGTGTATACTGCAATACTTAACAATGATTTACACATAGTAGGAGTTCATTTAATTCCATTGACCTCACTGAAGACCATTTGTTCCAGGACTTAACTGGGCTTCTGAAGGACAACAGAGTCATTTCCCAAGGTGATGTATGGGAACAGGCCCTGAAAGACGAAGTGATAGAGCAATAATAAACTGCAAGTCACGGTCCCTTGAACACACCACCTGTGTTCTTTTCTGCTGTGCCTTGTTCATATCAGTTTGTCCCTGCTGCCATTCAAGTGCCATCCAGCATTCCAACCCATTCTTGAGGCAAGAGTTTTGCCTGGAGACTTCTAATCCAGGCCATGGCGATCCCTCCCTCGGTCTCCCACACTTAACTGGTTGGCACCCACTCAGCAAAGCACATGCTGTCATGCTTCACATCATTTCTGTGGGTCTTGCCTCCCAAGTAGATCCCTTGTCGTTCCCAACCCGCAGAAACAAGACACCCTGGTTGTTATCAAGCAGCTTCCTTTTTATTCTTGTTGCGCAGCGTATTTATATCTCCTGGAGCCCAATCAGACTATACCAGGTGCACGGATTAGCAAATCAGCAGTGCCCTCCTGCTACCGCCAGCCCAATGGTGTCCAGTGGTGTTCACCTCCTCCCTGGCGGCTCTCCTGCGATCATGCGGCATTCTGGGCTTGGCAGGCGTCCCAGCGCCATCTTGTAATGGAGGACGGTGTCTCTGCCATAGGCCCGCCCCCAGCAATCCCTGAAGGCAAAAACTGTCTCCCCAGAATCCCAGGGCCCAGCGCTTATCTGTTCATAGCGAGTGGTGATCTGGCCGATGACGTGGGCTGTACCATAGCCATTGCTGTGACCTTCCCAACTTCCCTTCTAGCTCAGCCACATTCATCATAGGTGTTCAGTAGTTGTCAATGCCTTTCACTCCTTTCCCTTCATCTTCCCTGCTCTGTTGCCTGGGGGTCTCCTCAGGTGTTCCTTACTCTCCACTTATACACAGGGCAGGTGGGTGAAGGCCGTGTGCAGACACCTCACTGTGTGAGCCTGGTTCTAAAGCATGCCTTTCCTCAACTCTTTGTCCACTCTCTGGGCTCTGACCCTCCATTGTCTGCAGAAAAGCTGTGATCTTAGTCTTCCCATGCACGGTGGGGAAGGCCTATTGTGGTGCTTGGTGCCTCAGGGAGTAGAGGGCTCAGAACACTCCCTTTACTATTTGCAGAGAAGACTGGATTCAGGCTCACCTTTTAGTGAGATCACATGATCTAGTGATTCATAAACAATTATGTATTTGGTCTTCATTCTTCTTCCAGGCACAGAGCTCTGAAAACCTTGAATGAAACTTTCTATGATGAGAGTGATAAAGGTGTTTTGTTATGTGAAAGAAAACTTTTGCAAAGCACCAAAGATGGGGTTGGCTTCCTGGGGAGCCAACCTTAGTATTAGAGTTAGAACGTTGCAGTCTTTGCGCTCAACCTCCAGGGTGGGGAGAGGGGCTGGAGACCGAGTTCATTCACCAATGACCAATGACAACTGCTAGTGTAAGGAAGTTGCCATGTAAACCCCAAAGGGTGTGGGTTAGAGGGCTTTGGGTCGGTG